ACAATATGCTATTTCTACTTTATTTGGAGAATTTCAAATTAAAAAAAAACATCAAAGGCTAAACTGTAGTACATTTCTCAAATTATTTTATACAAATACAGATAAATGGAGAGCAAAATGACAGATTACCACAGTCATGACTCCAGAGACAGCTGGAATTTGCTCTCCAAACTTCTAAATGTTTTATGATCCTCTTTAGTCACAAAACTCATGGTTATTTTCTATCTATATTTAAAATATTTGCTAGACCATTGTCATAAGTCATGGATACTCATTCTCTTTCCCAGTCATTAGGTCCCATCTGTCTCAACATTTTGACAGTGCCTGATATCTAACCCCCTGAATGCATGAATACTAGTTCCTTTTCAAAGATATAAATGCAGCCCATTTGCATTGTCTGCAAATGGGATGTGACCCCTAGCAGAACATCTTTGAAATTCTATTTACTTATTTGAAATGTAGAGATACAGTGAAGGAAGGAGGGAGGGAAAGACTCGGAAACCTCCCATCTGCTGGTTACTCCCCAAGGCTCACAAATTTGCTACTTGGTCTGTCTGGCTGAAGCCAGAAACGCAGAACTCAGTCTGTGTCTCTCAGAGTAGTGACAGGGACCCAAGCACTTACATCATCACTCTGGCCTTCCAAAGGGCAGAGGATCCAAAAGCCAGATGTGGAGCAGAGCTGGGGCTCGGTCTGAGGTTCATATGGAGTGCAGGTGCCCCAAGCAGAATCTTAACCACTATGCAAACGCCCACTGGTGTAACGAAACACATACTAAAATAATCCCCCAAATCCCCAAAGGACACTATTATGATCTGCTCCAAAACAGAGAGTTGTGTCGTGTATCTAAGCAGTATAATGCTATGGAATGTCAGCACAGATGTTAGAGCTAGGCTGCCTGTGTTTGTTTCATACATACGTAACCTCAAAGCCGTTACCTCTCTGGGCATCCATTTCCTTCCCTATAGGTATAATAAACCTTTTCTTTGTGAGTAATTGCATGAAGTAATGAGCTAATTCATGTAAATATCTCTCAGCAGCATTCGGCAACTAATAATCCAAGTATTAGTTAATACCATTGCTATGGAAATCAACTTTTGAAGAAATCTTTCAAATAACATATGGAAAAGCTCAAACCATAAATTAAATTGGTATCCTGTGGTGCTAAAGAGAAAAAAGTGCATGCAGGAAAGTAATCATATACCCAACAAGATTGAGAAAAGTTTAAATTTCAAAGATGCATTTGTGTAACAGAAGGAAGTGTCAGAATTCTATATGCGAATAAACTGAGATGAATTCAACCCAGTCTCTGCTGCAGGGATCTAGAGAATGAACCGGCAAATGAGATATCGGTCTCTACCTGCCTTTCAAATGAAATTAAATAAATACATAATTTTAAAAAGAATTCCACAATATTGAATTAATAAAAACAAAACAAAACAAAAAACACCTAAGCTGCTTTGACCCAAAGACACTCGGAAAACAAATGTTCTGAAGCTGATCCATTTCGGAAAGAACATCACCGAACGAGCCCAGAATTCACACAGTACCGCTGTCCACGTTTAATGCTCATCTTCATTACCCTCACCCTAAGGCAGCAGAAGACATGTCTACCTCTCTCTCACTAAAGGTGCCACAGTCAGAACGAACGCGTTAGCCCTTCCTCGTCCTGGACCTTATTCCTGGGCAGGAGGAATTCTTCCCTGCACAGCTGGCTAACATTGCCTTGGGGAAGGGCGAAGAGAAAGGATTTTCTCTATGTATGCAGAGTCAGGAGGTGGCGGCTGTCTTCCTTCTTGGAAACCTAATGGATCCGAGGTTGAATTCCTGGTCTTTGGTAGGTAAACAGGTCTCCAGGAGCCACAGTCCCTGGCTTCTTAGCCTTTCAGGCCTTGAGTTGTTCCCAAGTTCCTCTGTGATTAAAGGCTGAGAAAAGTAACTCTCCTCTTCCCAGGTCCGGGGCTTTAAATCAGGAATCCAGTGGGCTCCCTACCAGTGGGAATCAGCCAGACCCCAGGGTGGACAATATTCCCAAAGGCAGCTGAAGACTCAGGATGCTAGGGCCTTTTACAGAAAAGCTGAGGAGTCCAAAATGATTTTATTTCCCTACAAATTTATTAAACAGATTTTGCAATTTGCATACCGAGGCAGAAATAGGAAAAAAAAATTTGCTTTGATTGCAACACTAGTCCAAGTAGAAAATACCTTACTAGTCAAAAATAATTTTCATGTTTTATATATACAGATATCTGCGATTTAAGAGTTGTCTTCCTGGAGGATCAAAATTTGTAGGATGTAGATAAAAATATTTCAGTTATCTATTTTCTCTCCAAAGAGCTAATATGTCATCTCAGAGAGCGGGAGAGGGGAGCACTGTCTTATTCGGATCCTGCCACTTTTGTGTTTGCATGTATCAATCCAGCTCACCCTCTAGGGAGGGGTGACACAGAAGCCAGAAGCACAAAGGGCTGGCGAAGCTCTCAGGGACCCCGCACCGAACACTTAGACCTCCCCGAGTGCGACAGGTGACACAGGACCCAGGCACACTCCTCCGGGGGCACTTGGTGATTCCTGAAGTGCCCAAGTTGAAACGGCTGAGGTGTTGTGAAAAAGGACAGTTCTCTTTATCCTGTACCACCTTGGTGACTGTTGTTAAAAATGCTTGTAATCGGTAAAATATCACAAAATTGCCCAAAACATGAATATGAAAACTTTGAAATTGAGCATCTTGCTTTCATGGCCCACATAAGTACAAACTGGTAGAATGTGGTCATGTTGTTTTCTTGGTATTTACCTAGAATTTTTTAAGAATCATAAGATACCCAAATTTTGTTTAGGTATCCTGGCAAATAATGAAGAAAGTAAAAGCCAAAAAAATAATTATGATTGAATATTATCCTGAAGATAAAGTATGAATGTTTTTTATTGGGTTTATTTCCTTGGAGATTCTGCTGCAATCTCCGAGTAATATAATTTTACATTCTTTTGGATCATGCAGGTAATTTATATTTTATTACTAGGTGCTTATTTGAACTTTTAAAATGCCATATTGAACTGAATAACTCACATTTTTGCCAACTTGACTTTCTGAAGCATACGTTGGCATTATCCTGAAAGATTTAAAAGTATTTGTGAAATTATCGATGAAATGCATATATTTCTTCTGCTTCATAGCCTCCTATTTAGACTTACATGTCCTGATTCTCCCAGTTGTTTTGGGCAAAAACATATTGTTGTCTAATTTGGTGACCATAGGTAAACTTGTCTTAAAGAACTTTAAGGATGAATGTGATTTCTCTGACTCTTAATGTTCAACTACAATGGAATTTAGGATGTTTTAAAGATATTCAAAATTATTTCACTTACAAACATGGAAATTATGGCATCAAATCTCCTATCCAAATACATAAATCACATCATATTGTGCTATACTTTATACCAAATAGGCAAAAAACTGAAATAAGCTGTATGTTTGACTGTCTTACAATTCTTTGTCTTCTTTTTTGAGACATTGTCCTCCATTTTTTAAATTTTTCATTATCTTTGTTATTATTTGAAAGACTGAGAGACAGACAGACAGACACAGAGCTGCTGTTCCCATCTGCTGGTTAATTCCCCAAATACCTACAATTACTTGGTCTGGGCCAGGTCAAATCTGGGAGTTATAAAGTCAATTCGGGTATCACACAAGGGTGACGGGGATCCAACCACTTCCACCATTGCTGCTATATCCTAGGGTACACTTTAGCAGGAAAGTAAAAATGGGAGCAGAGTCAGGACTAGAATCCAAGCTCTCCAATATGGAATGTGGGCATCTCAACCAGGCATCCCAACCAGCAGGACAAACACCTGTCCTTGCTTTCAGTTTTTCTATGCAAATCTTTATTTTTGGCACTGAAATACATAGATACAACTTTTTGAAAATATGTACAAGATGTCAAATTTAATATCAAACATCACAATTTATAGATGATTATATAATCAGTAAGAATGTACAATTTACTAAAATTGTATTAAGAGGAAATAGAAAATCTACAACACATATATATGCTTACAGGAAAGTTGAAAATTCCTTCAAAATTTTTTTCTGTTTACTAAGAAAATTATTGCCTTGGGGCAAAATAATATCATGCAGTACTTTTATGTGTGAATCTTTTCAACTGTAATTATTCAAATGGATAGCTGAACATGAATTCTGCCTTAGGGTTAACACATATCCAATTTGTATCACAGATTTTCTAATTAGTAGCAGATTGTCCACCCACCTCAGCTTAATCCCTATACATTTAAAAATAATTTCAGCTGCCAGAGGAATGTGTGGTACTTTTCTTATTAGATGATTGTGAGACTACATGTTTTATAATTACATATTCTTGTGTTTCTTAATTTCTCTGTCCTAAAAGTAATTGATTTATTAGTGTACTGCAAGCATACAAAGGGTGAGAAAAAACAATTTTTAATTTAAAAAGAATGTCAACTTTTATTCCTGTCTATAAAAGAAACTACATAACATACTTATATATGCCAATTTAATTTATTGTCATCATATTCTATAATACTTAAATTCGTGGTTTATTATTTATTTCTTATTTCTTGAATAGCTGTGTTTATTTTTAGGCTTTTAGAGATACTTTTTTTTTCTGCCCTTGTGCTGGCTTTTATCTTTAAACTATGCCTCTGTGGATTAGTGGAGTATTTGCTCTTTCAGTGAATACCCAGAGGCATGTGCTGGGTGTGGCCAGGGAGCTCTGTTTAGTGCTCCAAGGTGAGGGGAGTGTCCAAGGTGACACCCAAATTGGTGTGGTAAATATGTGTTTTTTTTTTTTTTCTTTTTAATCAGAGGGGAGAGTTTAATCTGCTCTGTTGGTATAGTCACAGGCTCACCTCCTCTCCTCCAAGGAGACCAGTGCCTGGGTGCTAGCCCCAGTGGGTATGTTACAGTCGAATTAGAGTTGAATTGCTCTTGCCACCCCAAAAACGCTCCAAGAGACCTTCTCTCATGTAATTAACAAAGGGTAAAGTTTATTGATGTTCCGACATGTCGGGGCCCCCGTCCCAGTACAGGCGAGCGGCCTCGAATAGTCTTGGGTTGGGGTTTTTATACACATTGAAACAAAGAAAATCAATCATTGCACAGAGCAGACAGTGGTATAGAGTAAATAATTGATACAAGTTAAGTGATTTTACAACCAGTTGATTTATGAATACAGGGAGTGATACCTAGGAATGCAGCCGAATGGCGATAAGGGACACATGGTGGAGTCAGGGGTCCAGGAGGCAGAGATATATGGTGACTTCTTCTATCTCACTTAGGTGAAACTGAGGTTACTGCTCACATTGGGGTAATTTACTGACTAATGGCTATGCAGAGCAAGTCTAACGAGGTCAGGAAAGTTCACCAGAGGAGGTTGGGGGGGAGCGGCTTTTAACTTTTTAACCCTTCATTCCCCACTCCTCTTAGGCCAGGGTCTCTAATCTTAGAGACCATCTGTTTCCCCTTCTCCGTGTGTTACATATTGTTGATGAATTACCATGAGTTTAACACTTTCAGCTAGGGAGACTTAGTGAACCACGACTTAAACCATCCCTGTTGCTGAAGTCTGTCCCACTGTCTTTTCTCTAAGCGTTTACGTAGTTGAGCCATGTTGTCCCTCGCCACCCCTGTCTTGTCTACATAGAAGCAGCATTCCTCTTTAAGGGCTGCGCATAACCCCCCCTCTATGAAAATGAGATCCTGTTCTGCAATACTGAAATGCAGATACTGGGCTGTATCCGGGAGGTTGTGGAAGATTTGTCAGGCAGAAGGGGTGGGGATCTCCACCTGGCAGGTTATCAGGTAGAAGGGGGCAGGGCAGGATGCAAAGGCTGGGCTTCCAGTGAAACATTGTCAGGATGACTGAGGTGCAGATGCATATGCTGGACACATTAGGCCTTTATGTCACACACACATAAGCTTATAACTGACTTTCTGCCTAATATTTTCCCCTCAAGAGGTAATACCCAAAATTCTTCTTTGGGATTATGGATGGAGTTCCATTTTCTGTAACTTCTTCGAAGCTGGCATGTGGGCGTCGAGGGGGGTTTGGGTATTTCCTCTTGCTACCTGTCTTATGGTGTGCAACAGTGGCCTTGGAAAGACGGTGCCGCTCGGTCCAGAGGGCTGCTCAGGTCGTCCAGTGGAATGGGCTGGAAGCCTTGCCTGATGACCATTTGGAGTTTAACAGCTTTTAGTCTGTTAGAGACAAAACGAACAAGGGCATTAAAAACACACAGTGCAAAGAGAAGCATCAAGATTGCAGAAGTTATTGGACCAATGAGAGGAAACAGCCAGGATTTCCGTGACCAGATATCAGGCCAGAAATCCCAGCCCTGCTTTGCCTGGTCCTGGAGCTGTTTGGCTTTTTCCAGGAAAATTTGGATTTGTACCTGTCTAGTCTGATTGACCCAGAGACAACATTCTTCCTAGAACATGGCACAGACACCCCCCAGAACAGCACTTAGCATGTCTAATTTTTTTATAACCTTTTGTGACTTCACACACCCTCTTTAACTTACTTGAAACATTTTATCATTTTTATTTTAGTTTAGAGTAAACTAGCCACCAGGATTCTTACAAGCCATGTCCTTTTCTTATTTAAAAAGCTCTTTTCTTTTTAACCCTTTTTACCAAGAACACTCTTTCCTTCTAAACCTTACTTACCAAGTACTTATTTTTATCCTTGTGATAGAGCCTGGTTGGCTCTTTCTGCCTTACCGGAAGACTGAGGTCTCCATGCAGAGTGAAGGTGCCTTACAAATCCCTTGTGTGATCTAGAGCTCTGGTTAAGGCAATCAGTTCTGCTAAATGAGCAAAAGTTCCTGGGGGCAGAGCATGCTGTAACTGTTGCATACCCTGAGAAGCAGGTCCAGTCTGACAAAGCTGCTTCCATCTATGAACCAAACTTCATCTGTGTTAGTCAGGGGACTGTCTCTTGGGTCCCTTTTGTTGGCATAGATTAAGTCTATAGTCTCAGTACAGGAGTGGAGGGGACCACTTTCCCCTGGAACTGGCAGGGAGGGCTTTTTAAGTTTAATACTATTGGATGGACTTTTAAGGCCTGGCTGGGTGTGTGAGGCCCAGACCTATCCATGGGGTGCTGTTAAGAGAATTGTAAGAGATGCAAATCTCCCTTAAGGGAGGCACCCTGTTGACTTGCATTACATGGCTGGACTAGGAGGAGAGCTGAATAGGAGGCTGATAGAAATAGGCAACTTGCATTTTACTGACCCTAGGCCATCCCCAATAGCAGTGGCTGGAGCTGGAAGCTGGGCAGAGCCAAAGGCTTTTTAGCTCGGGGCCACAGGGCCACAGGGTCTGCGGTTCTGAACCAGGAGTCCTTCGACACCCAGGGCAGTTCCATGTCCAGTAGCCTTGCTCTTGGCAGAGTTGACAGAAGGCAGTCGCTGTTACAACAGCTGCTTGCCCAATGCCCTGGCTCCTTATGTCAGCAACAGGTGCCATTTGGGGTACATTGGCTTTGCTGGGTTTCCTTGACAGTGGATCACCATGTAAAGCAGCCACTGATTGGCCTGTTGCCCATCCTTACATCGCTCCTGCTGCTAGCTTGCTCCTCAATTTCCTGGTCTCTAATAAAGTGGACCAAGGAGGCAGCCTCTATGATGTCAGTCAAGGGGGTGCTCAACCCCGTCCCTGATTTTTGGAGTTTTTTTTTTTTTTTTTTTAATATCAGGGTGAGCTAAAAAACTATGGTCATGGGCAAATTCTGCCACTTAGTATTTTCCTGCGAGTTAAGACCGTGCCCATGAGGAGAACTATGATCTTTTAGGTAAGATCAACTGTGGTGACCTGCTTGCATACTTTGAGGTCATCAGTACAACTTCCTATCTATCCCTCAATTTGGTTTAAAAGGGGAGTTCTGCCCATTTACCGCGTACACCAAAAAATCGATCTAACCTCTTATTATGGCTATGCTGTTTGGTCCTCTATACTGTGACCAGGCATTATTATAGAAATGGTCAGTCATAACTTCCCTTCTGGAAAAGAAAAGAGGAGAAGTGAGGCAGTGAGTCGGGTCTCTAGCCTGACTTTCTGGGCTTTCAGATTTAACCAGCGTTTAACCAGTGCTTACTGCGTAGCCTGACTTAGAGGAGAAATTGTGGCAGAGGTCTCTGCCATCCTTTGGCCTCCAGATATTTACCGTGTAGCCAGTGGGTTATGGGCCTGGGTTTCTGGGCTTTCACCGTGCAGCCTGTGGACACCAGAGACTTCCCGGGCTCCTGGAACCCAGCTCTCCAGCACCCGCTGCATAACCATCTCCCGTCGTCTCTAAGTCTCTTTTGGCACACTTTTTTCTTTTTGGCTAGACCTTCATTTGATCTATATTTGAACTAGCAATGCCTGGTTGTTACACAATAAATTACTTAGGCAGAACATGAATTCTATGTCTCTTGTTGTCGGATAAACCAGAAATAAAAACCCTGAACATTAGAGTTAGTACACAATTATCATATAACTCAGAATAATTTAACAGAGTCAAAAAGAGCTTACAGGACCTAATTTTAGAAATGGCAGGGTAGCCGATTAAACAGACACTGTTAAAATAGACATTACAGTTTTTGTGAAAACAGATTTTAAGATTTATGATTTAGACTATTTTTAAACATTTTAAAACTTTTTATGACTTGTTTATACTTTTGGAAACTTTACACCCGTAGTTACTTTTATATAGCCTTGAATTGTCATGTGTGGACAACCTATGAGAATACATGCTAACAAACTCAAACAGTCTCTCTTATCGAATTTGAGATGTTAAAAGTACACATAATACACTTTTCCAAGTTTTACTTAGTACTGATGTCTAGATGACTTAAGACATAGAGTTATTAATGAATACCATACCAGTATCTGAAATAGAAGTCAAAATTACATTTCCATGCTTTTAAGTAATATAAGGACAACACCTCCTGAGCAGCAAACATGGTCACTAGTGCATGGTTACAACTTTGAAAAGATCTTTATCATTAAAAGAAACAAGTTTAAAGCACATCAAAGACATGTAAAACTGAGCAAGCAAGCCACTGAGCAAACCGAAGGGCATTTGCATTATCTCAATTTTCTGAACCAATCTGCATTGGCTTACTTTAGTTAACAACATAAAGGCTTGTATATACAGAATTTACTCTTATTTTTATAAGACTAATTTAGCTGGAAAGCAAAAACATGAATACAGCATAGGTCTGACACCATTTATAACATTTTAATACATTTTACATAGTCTGAATTGACTCAAGCAACTGTTACTTTAACAAATTCAGAGTCTCATCCTTTGAGAGTTCCAGGGATCCGACTGGAAGCCCAAAGTTGGAAGACTCGATTTAGAATTTAAGCTGTCAGAGTCAAACCATTTAGCCAAAATTAGTACATTTTTGATCAGTTGGGTAATCACTCAAACATTAAAAACAGATAAACAACGTAGTCTCAGTACTACAAATAGAAAAACATGAAACCTTCAAGACAAATGAAACTCTTATCAGCTAAGTCAGGGACAGCAGCACAGAAAAGAGCTGATAAAAGCCCATTTACATTTTGGAATAACCTGTTAAGAATTTTTAAATTAAGACAACATTTTTAAAGTTTTTATTATACAGTTTAGAACAGTTGGTTCTGAATGGAATTTTCCCATAATGTGTCCCCCTTGGTTGTACAAAACAAGAGATAAAGACCTCCGGAACAGGCACTGATCTGGAGTGAGATTGCTTCGCCCGCCTGGTGAACACGGAGCTGCAGGTTACGGCCCATTTAGACTCTGTAGCTGCAGAGCCGTGGAGCCACAAACACATTTACACCACACACACGCTGTTTTCCATTGCAGACACCAGGCAGGTCCCTGGTAGAGGGGCAACAGAAGCCCCCCCTTCCGCACAAAGGCGGGCCTGAGTACTGAGTGCCCCAGGGTGACTTACCGGGTCCTGAAGTCCAGGAGATCCATCCATTTGCCCCATTTGGTCGGCCATGGGGAGTCAGTCTGGGGGGACGGGTATGGCTCGGGGAGTTAGGATCCTGAGGAATAAGTCAGGAGGCGCGCCTTCCCATCCTCCGCCTGCCATTCCTGGGCCCCAGCTGAGTCCTGCAGGTTGAGGCTCACAGGGCCAGCTTTGTTTGAACACACAGGGGGTTTCAGCACTGGCTAATGGCACAGCAGGGGTTTCCCTGCTGCCTGTGAAGGGAGAGTGGAGGGATCTGCTGGCCCCTGAGGAGCTGCTTCTCTTAGCCCCTCCTGTGGCCCCCGCTGCCGGCCCCACAGCCAGGGCCGGGCGGCTGGTAGGGAGGAGGGAAAATCAAATCTTCAGAGTCGCCCTGTAAAACAGAATAGAGCGGCGCCGAGGCTGAAGTCTTAGTTTGTTTTATCTGCTTTGCTGGGACGGTCCTGGACGACTAAAATTTTTTTTTGAAGGTTGTTTCTGAGGGAATAAAAGAGGCTTTAACCAGGAAAGGGAGTTTTTACCAGATCTTGCCAGACCAGGATGTCAAGGGTGCCCTTAGGCGCCCATCCTACTTTAAAGGTAGGCCAATCTGCAGAACAAAGGGTGGTTAGTCTTCCTTTCTAAGAGTTGTCTAAATCCATCCCATTGTCTGAATTTCAGAAAGGTAAATACAAATAGCCAAAAACAAACACCAAAGAGACTCACAAAAAGGCACTGAACAAAACAAAAAAGACAAAAATGGAACATCGGCCTCACGCCTGCGGGAGCGACCACTGACCACTGACCACTTCGTTCCTACAGAGGTGGGGAGCCTGCCCCCCTACAGAGTCCCAGATGGGGTCCGAGAACCACACTGACACACAGACACAGATACGAATGCAAGTTCCGGAACCACTTCAGAACCTACAAATGCAGACTCTGGGACCACTTCAGAGTCTTGCGACTATGCCACACACAAACAGACAAACACAGACTCCGGAACCACATCAGAGTCCTGTGACAATGCCGACAATACAAATGTAAGTTCCGGAACCACATCAGAACCTACAAATGCAGACTCCGGGACCACATCAGAGTCTCGCGACAATGCCACACACAAACAGACAAACACAGACTCCGGAACCACATCAGAGTCCTGTGACAATGCCGACAATACAAATGCAAGTTCCGGAACCACATCAGAACCTACAAATGCAGACTCCGGGACCACATCAGAGTCTCGCGACAATGCCACACACAAACAGACAAACACAGACTCCGGAACCACATCAGAGTCCTGTGACAATGCCGGCAACACAAAATGTGAGTCTGAAAACAGTTTATGCAATAGAAGTAAAACCTGAAAGACAAAGGGTGAATACTGATGCTGGCACCGAATTCCCGACCGCGGGAATTCCAGATGGGAGTTTCGCTGAGCGTCCTCAGTCTCCCGGTCCTCCCGAGGCGTCCCTCGAGGCTGTAGCGTTGTGGCTTCCAGGCACGTCTGCCACCCAACGTCTACCGTGCCAGCCCGAAACCGCTTCAGGCCTGAACCAGATACAGAAACAGAAATGCACGTGCACAGAGTCCCTATCCTTTAGGCGCCTTTACTTACCCCGAGAGATGTCCGTTGGAGACGTCCGTGGGCAGCAGAGCCATCTCGGTGGAACCTCCATATGTTACAGTCGAATTAGAGTTGAATTGCTCTTGCCACCCCAAAAACGCTCCAAGAGACCTTCTCTCATGTAATTAACAAAGGGTAAAGTTTATTGATGTTCCGACATGTCGGGGCCCCCGTCCCAGTACAGGCGAGCGGCCTCGAATAGTCTTGGGTTGGGGTTTTTATACACATTGAAACAAAGAAAATCAATCATTGCACAGAGCAGACAGTGGTATAGAGTAAATAATTGATACAAGTTAAGTGATTTTACAACCAGTTGATTTATGAATACAGGGAGTGATACCTAGGAATGCAGCCGAATGGCGATAAGGGACACATGGTGGAGTCAGGGGTCCAGGAGGCAGAGATATATGGTGACTTCTTCTATCTCACTTAGGTGAAACTGAGGTTACTGCTCACATTGGGGTAATTTACTGACTAATGGCTATGCAGAGCAAGTCTAACGAGGTCAGGAAAGTTCACCAGAGGAGGTTGGGGGGGAGCGGCTTTTAACTTTTTAACCCTTCAGGTATAATATTCATTCTTGTTGTCCCAAGAACCATACACAGGATCCACACTGTCCTCAGAGAGAGCATGGATCCCACAGCAATGGCCCTCACCAGGGAATCAGGGAGTGTAGGGGGCCGCCCACAGTGACTGCCCATAGACCCAGCCACAGCCTGTGCCCTCACATGTAGCATCAGTGTTTTCACAGTCCCAACACATAAGGCTCCCTCAGTCACAAGCACCTGGACCCCTGTCAATTCTCCCAGCCAGATTCAGGCATCTACTCTAGGCTGTTTGCTGGGAGTGATTTGTTTTTCCTGCATTTGATATTCCTATAATTAATGTCCAATGAACGTCCCTAGGTAACTTTGATATTCACTCTCTTCTTAGTATTCTGAAATCCTAAACGTTTATCAGGAAAGCTAAATTGTCAAATCAACCACCACTCTGTATATAGGCTGTTGTTTCCTTTATTCTCTTTTGGTTTTACTTCCTGCCTTATACAAGTTAGATTTCACAAGATAATAATGTAAATACATTGTTCCAAACGCTTTGAACACACTCAGGTGCCTCATTCCACTCACCTAGGAAAACCTGAATTACAGATGAGTGCAATAAAATGTACTTTTCACCTACTACACTAGCAACAAAATATGCCTGTTTCAATTACACAATGTGATTAATTGGCATCTTCTACATCTGTAGCAACCCATTGTAGTAGGCAATAAACATGACCTAACTTTTCTTACTAAGTTTACCTGTTTTTTTTTTTAATTTTTTAATTTTTGACAGGCAGAGTGGATAGTGAGAGAGAGAGACAGAGAGAAAAGTCTTCCTTTTTCCGTTGGTTCACCCCCCAGTGGCCGCTGCTGCCAGCATGCTGTGGCCGGTGTACCGCGCTGATCCAAAGCCAGGAGCCAGGTGCTTCTCCTGGTCTCCCATGTGGGTGCAGGGCCCAAGCACTTGGGCCATCCTCCACTGCACTCCCTGGCCACAGCAGAGAGCTGGACTGGAAGGGGAACAACCGGGACAGAATCCGGCACCCTGACCAGGACTAGAACCTGGTGTGCTGGCGCCGCAGGTGGAGGCGCTGTGCTCAATAGGCTAATTGAGTCAATTTCATCAATTACCCACTTTTCATATTCTTCCATATAATCCACTGCACGAACTGTGAGATATAAGCTTTGCAGAATATTGTAGACAGCAAATGAATCCGTTTCTCTTTTCCCATTACTAAATCTGCAAACTTAGCTACATCTTCATTCACCTTCTCTGTCTTCTACAATGAAACCCAAACCTCCCCATGTGCACTCACTGTCTGCCAACCATGAATGTCAGATGTAACCAGATATTGCCAACCAGAATCACCCCAAACTGAGACCTTCACTCTTACTAAAAGACCACCTCTCTGGTAATACTTCATTTCCAACCCCAAGTATCCTAACTCTATGCCCTTGAGCAAATTCATTCACATATAATGTGGAAAAGTTGTGATACCCGAATTGACTTTTTATCATTCTTTCATCATCCAAAGGAATCAAGATTGATAAACAGAAAGTTAGTTTTGAGGCTATAATGTAGCTTGTAGTGTTTGATTGCGTGTACACCTGGCTTCATTTCTTGGTTCTGTAACCTTGAGCTAGCTACTTGTCCTCTTGCTCCTCTGTGTTCTTTTCTATAGAATATACTCAGTAATAAAACCTGACCTATAGGGTGGTTATGAGGACAGTGTGCCTGGAACATGGTAGCCAAGAGGAAGTGTTAATTATTATAACTAGGACTTCTAAATCCGTTTCTCTGCCAGCTGTTGGTGAGACTGCCTGTGACCTCCATGCCATGGGGCTCTCTGCAGCTTCCCGATTTCTTCTTCTCTCTGAGGCTCTCCATTTCTCAGGTCTCAGCAACTCAAAAGTGCAAAAAATCCTTCCCTGACTGCCCTATATAAGCTGACTGTTTCTATCTATCACATCCTTGAGTTTCCTTCCTAGCAACTGCATCGCTATAACTAATAGTTTTGTGTTTTCACTTGCTTCTTTCTCGGCCGTAAAACAATAATTTGCATGGGGAGTGAACACTGTGCTTGTGTTGTTCACTGAAAACCCTCACTGGCAGAGATGGCTCTCAACATTGTGCAATGAATAGCTATATGTATTCTAAGTCAGTGACGCTGACACAAGCTTTCCATACAAATAACTGAAGGAGCATTTGTGGCTGAGGATTTACCCAAGTCTTTGCTCAGATAAATAAAATATAATGTGATAATATATTAAACAGTTTATAGTCTTAATAATATAAGAAATTTAATTTTTATCACATACATTTTGTTTATATTGTTAACCTGATAAAATTATACAAAGATGCTCATTATGCAAACCATGCCCACATACATTTACTCTCTTCCTACTTCTTCATGTATTAATCAATTTAGTCTTTCATTCTTTTTTCTTTTGTTTTGTCTTCCTTTTTGTTGTGAATATCATACAACATAATAATTGGATAAGAGAAGCTAAATAATATTTGTATTTTATTATTTATTTTCCCTTTATTATACAATCAGAAACATAATGTTATCATAACATTGAAATTGTGAGTTCATGATTTATTCTGGGGTAAAGAAGTGAAAATTTAGGAAACAGAGTTTAGGCAAAATTCAGATTAGTAACAGTGGTCCCAAATGTTAGATGGCAGTAATTTTAGCTGCCACCATTTGGCCCCAGATAATCATAAGAACACAAGAGACAAACTTGGAAAAAATTCATTGAATTTGGTGAGAAGATTTCAGAATTTTTATTATCCTAAGTGCCCATTGTATTTGGCAAATATGGAATATCTAGTAGTCAAATGTACTAGCAAAATTACTCACCCTCTCCCTCCTGATATCATTTTCCTCAATGGCTAAGAAGCATCACCACAGTGAGATTACTTACTGAAATATTGAGTCAGTGAACACTGGTTTTCCCTGTATTGATGTATTTCAGAGTGCTTGCCTGGATGTCAGTATTATTGACATTCTAAAATATGTGGTTGCTGTGTGTTTCTGATTCTACTGAGAACATTTAGAACATTTCCCTCCAATATAAAAAGATATGAAATTAAGGTTATAATTGATACCAGATCTTAATTGGACAATTACAAGAACCGGACTCTTTTTCCACTTATACACAAAATTTATGCTTGAAATTGACGTTTTAGACCTCTACTCCTTTTCACTTACTGCATTGTGCTTTGTAAATATTTAATATCATGATGTTATTGCAATTTGCACAAGGTTCACTTGCTCTGATATGTCAAATCTCAGGCTCTTTGGCTCACTTTTATAAAATATGAAAGCTGGGAGAAGAAAGAGAGGGTTATGTCAAGTGCCATGGGGAAAAAAAAAAAAAACTGTTTCACACCCACCCCCTCTAAATAAGCCAGTTTTCGGGGAGGGATATTTCTCACTCAATGAAACTAAGGAGTGCTCATTGCAGTGTTAAGGTTGCCAGGTCACATGGCCATTATTTGTCAAGTACTTATATCCCTGATGAAACACTGTTTTTTGACTAGCCTTCTAAGGAATTCCTCACCATTTCTTCCTTATTACACCATGTCTAAGATATGAGAGGGGCAGAGATCATATTTT